CAGAGAGAAAATGCAATTATGAAACTGATGATGAAATATGAAAATAGTTTGATTTAAATCATGCGACACTGGGCAGATAAAAAATCAGAACGCGCTTGCAAATTTTATCGTATTTTTATTATATTTTTTATTACACGCACAACTGTGTACATATATACATATATATATATATATATATATGTATATATCTATACATACATATATGTACAAATTACAAATACGCTCTGATTATCAGTTTGTTCGATGGAATATTTCATTTAAAATTATAACGCAATTTGTATTTTATTTTATTTTTTTTGTGTTTTATAATTATTTTCTCCTTATTTCATAGGAAATGTCTAAAACAGTCCGTTCTAAACAATGAATTTACGAGACAGTCGTGAGAAACTAATTAATCGTAAATTTTGCCAAGGGCCGATTGAGAATCTCTGCGAAAATTATCGAGGACACGACGGTGTCCCCTGTATTTTATCCTGAAGTACATTCTTTTTGCCATAGAAACTTCGATATTGTTTCTTGCAGTCGGGTAGCAGTTTATTCGAGGCTAGTGTGACAGATTTCGACCACGCCCTGCCGATATGGTACCCCCTTGCCCAGTCACCTTCGGATTCATTGACGGCGAAATTTGCCGGCTTTGATCCGCATACGGCATACTTTTCCGGCACCTCGTCGACGTCGTCCCCGGTCTTTAATAAAGACATTCAAATCCGAATAGAAGGGAGTGACGTATCATTGACCATCAAAAGTGTTGAATTATTGTTGGACTATACATGTGTTTACGTGGAATAAACATAAAAAAAATTACTATCAAGTAAGAAAAGTAAAACATATGATAAATTATATAATTTTAATTATTTACATTTTTTTTAACATTTATTTAATATCCGAACAATTATTTCAACTGACGTGAATGAAACAGACGTGTTTGAAAGAAAAACGCTCGTTTAAATGTCGTTCTCCTCGGCCGTGCAAAACTTTTCGGAAATTTCTCTCACGTTCATTCCGTTTTTTCCTTGTTTCCTCCCCCCTTCCTCCCTTCAAATCGCAGAAGGGCTGTTTATTTTGTTTTGATCCGGACGCGCAATGTCGGTGGCCCAGTTTCCGGGGTGTCGGCAAATTGACTTTTGCCAGTTCAATGAAAACGGCGACCGAGAGAGCCTTTGAAAGCGCGTCCCGGCGCAACTTCTGAGACGTCGATGCCTCGAATGAGCTCTTGAAACTTTACATTTCTTCGTCGTGCTTCTCTTTTTCGCTGCCCCTTCGTTCGATCTCTCGCGGAGAAGCTCATCGATCTCCCACGGCGGTCGACGGAGAGTCGACCTCTCTTTCCATTCCGCGGAGAGCGTCTAGCTGGAGACGCCTCTCGAAGAGGGTGGCAAGGACGAAACTCGCAAAAAATCGAAGAACAAGAACGCGAGGCTCTGTGTCTGACGTGAGCGCGCATATTCCCCTCTGTGTGTCGCGAAAGAAGAAAATGCGCGCTGCAGCAGCTAAAGGAAGAAAAGAAAAAAGAGGAAAAGAGAGAGAGAGAGAGAGAGAAAAAAAGAAACAAAAACAAGAGAGAAAAGCAGAAACATACAAAGGCGTGCGAGACGACGGGGGACTTAAAAATGATATCCACCGTGGGACAAAGTGAAGGTAGCCCCCGGTGCGCAGAGAAAGCCAGAAATGAAAATGGAAATGCCGACAGCTATGACGATGCAAATCGCGAAGAGAGACGGTCGGGAAAGAAAATGAGAAGATGGCGAACGCGCGAGCAGAATAGATGATCCATGCTGCTCAGCATAATTGGCGAATAAGAGTTTTATGGACGTTCCTTTATACTTCTTTACTGACGATCTTTGTTTCCTGCTAATTTTTTCGAGTTGTTACACAATTAAATAAATTTTTGCGTCGAATAGTGTCAAAATAAAAGAAATTCATCAATTTGCCTCAATAAATCGAGATCTTCCGCGTTTAAGAGGATTCAGAAGAATTCCGGAAATAAAATTAACGGTTTCGCGGATACTTTTCAAAGCTCGAAATAAAGCGATCTCGGAAAAAATCTCGAAAAAGGAAAGAAATCAAGAAACGCAATCTACTACCGCGATCCGGCAAAAAAGCGGAACGTGCAGGAAACGAAAGACGGGGGAGTGGAAAGAGAGAGAGAGAGAGAGAGAGAGAACGGAATACGGAACAGCACCACAGAGTCGCCAAATTACAAATCCTCCGAAAAAGCCGGGCGCGAGATACACAAAGACATTTAGCGCCAGGCCGAATGCATCTCACGGCGCAAACGATGCGGCACCGCCGCGCAGCAGCGCGCGGCTATATACGCGCGGCACGCAGGTGGGTCACAAGCGTGGGTGTACATTACAATCAAATCCCGAAAAAGGGGAAAAGAATTAAAAAAGCTATCTGCCGCGAGATAATAAAAACGAAGACGCGCGAGAGCACCGGGGAGGAAAAAGGACGGGGGTATAAAAAAGAGAAAGAGAGAGAAAGAGGCAGAGAGGATGATGAAAAGCGAGAGAAAAGATAGACAAGAGAGCGAGATAGCGTCAGATGCAAGGACGAGGAAAGAGTGAGACACGGACAGTGGGGTCGAGGGCGGGAAGGACGCTGTGGATGACAAGGACAGGGGTGTGTGCGCGCGCGCGCGCGAGGAGAATCTCTCTACGCCATATCCCTCTTCGCGCGTATTGGTGACTAGGATGAAGCGTGTGCGTCGTCGGAAAAGCGCCACACGCTGGTAGCCCCGGAAAGAAAATCGCTCGCAGGCTATTTTCCGGAGGAATTTTTATTGGTACGCGCGCCATGTTGGCGACGACGGTGGGGGCGCCGCGGGCGTCGCGGCGTATCGCGGGATTGGTCGTCGCCCTGGCGACGCAACCCCCGCCGGACCAATCCCGACACGTCCGCCACGCTTTTCGCGCCCTCGTGTCGCGGGGGCAGCGGCGGCGGCGGCAGCTGGGACGCAGAAGTGCGGGGGCGAGAGAGACGCCGGTTACGAGCAACAACCCCCTACCACGGAGCGATGACGACGGCCGAGAGGCAGGCAGCAGGCAGGCAACACCACCTCGTACGCGTTCTCTCTGCTCACTCACCCCCGCGCGGAGTCACCGGGATAACTGCATTTCGCGGACAGAATCCCACAAGAACTCACGGCGAGCGGTCGCCCCCTCTGACTCGCTCTCCGCTCCGCTGTCGTCTCCGGGTTTTTCCCACCGCGTTATATCCTTCGTAGAGGAAGGAAGGAAAGAAGGAAGGAAGGAAGGACGAAAAGGGCGCGTCGTGTGCACGTCCTCGTTGTCATCGTTCTCGCCGTTCGTCATCGTCATCGTTATCGTCGTCGACGTCGTCAACGTTCTCGCCGTCGCGCCGTTGTCATCCCCGTGGTGCGCGCGATTTCTTCATATCGATTTGCACGCGCGCCATTTCTCGCCAATTACTTCGATATTCGAATTTTCAAGGCCAGCTGATCCTGAACGCGCGTCAACGAACGGACCCTACCCTCCTCACGAGGGTCGCGCACCCTTCTAATTGGATCGACGATAATCAGATTTGAATCGCGGCCGAATTCCAGAGTCGCGTCGATTGTCGCCGTCGCGTATCCTCGGCGATTCATATTCCGTCGTCGCGTTCGGTCGTCGATTTGTTTTGGCACTTGTTACTCCGAGAGAGCAACACTGAAAGTCGTTTCCGAGAAGAATCGCGGAGGAAAGAAGCGCGTCATCGTCAGTTCAACCACGTGTCTTCGCGAATTGGATTTTCTTCGCTGAAAAAGAAGAAATCACCAGACACCTTCCAACGGAAAAGCGAAGAGAAGAATCGCACCTCTGAAATGAAGTCTGAAGAAACGTCTACGTTTGTTGTTGAAAGTGCAATAGATCAGTAGTATCGTAGGGAAATTGCAGTTGTAAAGTTCAAACTAAACTTCGGTAGCAAATAACCTCGTAGATGCCTGTCTCGATAGATGTGAAATGGATTGCTAATTGGATCTGGATTAAGTTCTTATTGGCGGATAACCGTTGCGAAGATCCACTGCTGTAGATTTGTACGAAGATCACATCCCATGTTAAGTTGTTGAATATTTGTTGAAGATCGAAAACTGCGTTGAAAAACGACGGGACTGCGACGGAAATCGGGGCCGGCAGTTGCGATATATACAAATTAATTTGATCATATTGATGTTTCTCGTAAATTAGCCAACAAATGGCGACGTGTCATGTGATAACATTCACGATAAGTATTAAGAGCTTTCAACAACAGTGATATCAAGAGTGCGACGGTGTTCTGAAGAGAATGTTCAAGAAAAAGGAGATCTTCAGAATTATTCAACACCAAGTTCTTAGATAGTTCGTAGATATACAATTTACAAGGTGAATTTATCTCGTACATATATATTATACTCCTAACAAAAATCAATCCCGAGTAGCTGAAAAAAAAAATAAACGTGTACAAAAGTCGGGGAACACCAGTTCGAGAACAAGTTTTCCTACAAAAACGCGAACACAGTTCGAGAAACACACACTTTTTTCGCAACCGACGAACCGAGATCCAGCGTTGAAGTCACCAAAAGAAGATTTTCGAAGAAGCGAAAAGAAACTCGTCAAAGTCTCCGACGGTAACCCGACGAGAATCTTCTTCCTGTGCGCCGACCGAGCAGAGGAAATAACACAGTGCACATTCGTAGGGCGGACGCGAAGAAGCGCCCTCCTCGCAGGTTCGTGTCGGAAGATGTTCTCGTAAGTGGTCGCAGGCTCGCACAGGTGTTTCCAGCTACGAGCTACCTCGACCAGGTCACTCCGGCATCACCCTGGCTAACGACCTGTCCGGAGGTACCGGGGGTCCCGGTGCGGGCGGCGTCGGTTCCGTCGGTGGTACCTCCGTCGGTGGC